GAGAGAGAGAGAGAGAGAGAGAGAGAGGGAAGGAGAAGAGAAAATGTCCCAATAAATCATCTTACAACATTTTGTTAATTAAAATTAAGTTCCATCTTTTGATAACAAAAAGTAATAAAGTGTAAAATAAGAAGCAAATTTAGCCAAATGTCAATTCAGATATATGTAAAATTGAGAACTGACCTCTTTCTATGATTTCACACAAAAATTTAACATTTAAATATTTGTTTTACTCAGGAATTAAAGATTTTCTCAAATAATATATTTAATCCAACGTATAACTTAATCTAAATTCATTGCAAATGATAAGATATGAAAACCGAAATGTTTGTGATAAAGTAAGACTAAATGAAATAATTATAAAAGCAGTTAGTTGATAAAAATGATAAAGAGCATTGATATGATATCATCACAAAACAAATTTAGCTATGCTGCAGGAAAGAGCATAAATTGATATGACAAAAAATACAATTTATTATGTAATTGCATGCAATCGCTTGGCGAAAAATAAGGAAGCATTATTTCATGTTAGTGATGAAAAATATTATCAGTTATCAATCAACTGATATGAGTTTTTACCGATTTATTAAATAATGCAATGATAAAATGCTTATATAAAATTGATGAAGTTTGAAGTTGACAAATGACAGAGAAATAGAATTAGAAATATTTCGTGTAATGAATTTGATAAATATTGCATGTAAAGAGCTCAATAATGTCATTTTTCAAATCTATATGATGTTTAAAATGCAATATATACCTGCTCGAGTAATTATTAAAAGAACGCAGTTGACATGAGTTGACATGACAGAGTAATTATTAAGTAAACTCAATTTTTGATATATCAAGCTTCAGTTCACAGATTGCTCCGTTGTATTCTCGACTTTAATCGTATTCTGCAATTCTCTAAACTCTAAATGTGGCTATTCTAAGTGCACCGGAAGGTCCTGTCGGCTGACGGGAAATGCTGACACTATTTAAGTAGATTTCGATTCTCTTACTAAAAAGATGAGACGAACATCATAATGAAAGGTTGATGACGTTGAATGACGAAGGCCTAATGAAGAATGACGTAATGAAAAATGAAGAATAACGTAGTTGACGTCGATTACGTGTTAAATGATGATGTGATGAAAACAATTTAAAAACTTCTTCTGCCAAAACAAATCCTACAAATGGATAATTGTATGATATGGATACTATTACTAATTGTTACCGCTAATTCGCTACTTTTTTTGCAAAAAAAAAAAAAAAAAAGAAAAGCATCGTCATTAATTGATCAATTGGTTAGTAGAGGAATTAATCAGTTAATCAGTTTGAGTAGAATATTGATCAACTGATTGATAAAAGATTGATCAATAAGACAAAAGATTATTTGATTAGTTATATTTGCTCAAAATTTCATTTAAACTGCAAATCGATTATCACAACATTGATGAATTTCAATTGTTGACTAGAAAAGCTTTGAAAACTTTTAGGATAAAGTGATTGTTTATGCTATGATTGTGGCCTTATGGCAGTTATCAAATTACTTTTTCATCTGATTATAAATGAAACCAAACTGAATCTAATCAAAATCACACTTTGTTTGTGATGAAACAATGAATAAACTGAAATGATTGAAGTTTTACTAATATTTTTATCGTTTTTAGTTTAATTGTTGGGTTAAAAATGGAAAACAGGTGGTGATATTATCATTTCTACCTGATATAGCTGGAAGAGTAGGAGTAGTAAAATCCAATAAACATCAATTAAGTACCATTATCTCACGTGAAAGTTTCCGTATTACAAATCAGAAGATGATTTTATTGAAGAAACAGATATTTGCTTATTAATGTATTTGCCTTAGCAATCATAAGAACTTCAAGCTAAGCTAAACCAAGCTAAACCATTATAAGGAAAGAAAAGGATATAGCTACCAGCAAAAGATTCTTTATTGTCAAATATATGCATTTTTTATAGATATGCATCGATTTTCGGCATGGTTGCAAGCCGGACTCGTCCATTTGGCCGATACCGGAATGCTCCCGGTAAAATTGCTGCAAACTTCCGGTCTATGCCATCTAGCTAAGTACAGCACTTCTTCATTATTCTATCCAGTTAACAACTGTATATTGCGGCGGTTGGAGACAATATGACTGCTAAGTAACGCGAGGTTATACGAATACAGTAGACGTGTAAATCACGTAGTGGCGGCGAATACCTTGGCGCAAACTTTCACTGCTAACAGTGGAAGAATTCCATATTATCCATCCATCTGATCGGTATAAATTCACCAAACTTCACAGAAAACTTCATTTATTTAGTGGCAAGAACTTTGAGTTTGGTGAGTTATTGTACAAATGACGAAATTACCGGAAAAACCGGAACCGAAAAAATATGCAAAAAGCAGCGACGATCCATTTGGAACAAATGATGCGTTTTCCGGAAAATTAGAAACTTCCGAAAAAAATAGCGCAGACTGGTTAGATGTAAAATCGGTAACTGTTGTCAACAAAATGTTCCTTTCAATAAATACGTTTTTTTTATTTTTTCATTCCTCAACACAATTTTTAGAAAATTATTCAAGAGTGAGGTGATATTGTGGTGACATTTGCTTTGTCCCTGTTAGGCTACTACTATCTCGCACTATGCAAGAATAGTATGACATTAATTATCCAAACTTCTGAATAAATTTAAATGATTTTTTTTGTTACAAATTTTTTTTACTATTGAAAATTTCTAATAAAATTTATTGAAGTGTAATATTTTTAATAGCATTCTTTGATAATTGATGGGAGACAAGCCAATACACGGGTCATTTCTTTGGAACCTGGAACGAATGAAGTACATGAATTTGATGTTGATGTACTCTATAGTTGGGATCAATCTTCTGGTACATTATCCTATGAAGCTTGTTCTCCTGTTCAAACTGATTCTCTTGAAACATTTAAGACTGCTAAAATGGTAAACTCATTTCACTTCTTTAAATTATTTAAGTTTTTTTTTTTCCAGTGACTCATCATTAATATGAAACTTTTTTTTTTGTCTATTTTTAAGCAATGAATTTGTCACTTTATTATTTAACCTTTTTTTTTTAGCCACTAATCATACCTATGCAAATTCATAATGAAATCTCTTTAAATTGTTTTTAATAAAGCATCATTTATTTAATATTTAGTTACCAAATTATAAAGATATCATTTGTCATGCGAAATTAAATCAACGTCTTTTACGCGATTCAATGCCATCACAAAAAATATTATCAGCTAAATCACTGGCAATGTTTAATGATGCAATGCGACAAGACCGCCTACAAGGACATTTATTCAAAAAAATTGTTGTACCATGTCAAAAAGACAAAAATACGGAACGTTATGAACTGATTTCAAAGGTAATCGGAATAACCTGATAGATTGAAAGATGCTTTAATAAAAAAAAAAGAACACCTGTAATTATTTGTCTTACATGTCTTTATTGAGATTTGCGATGATGCTATCAGTGAATATATGGCATCAAGTAATCATGGAAATAAATTATTGGAAATAAATGTTGAATGTGGTGGTGCTATGCCACCTCGAATTAGCATTAATGGTATTCGTGCAGAACGAACAATAAAATATGACAGTGGTAATGAAAGCTATTGTGATATTAGTCAAGCAACAGAGGTTAGTCTACTTTTATGTATATGTATTAGTAAAGATTTTAAAAAGAAAATTGAAATTAAATTTAAAAATAAATAATTTATGAGACTTTAATTAAAAATCAAATTAACGATTTCAAAGTTAATAAAAAAATATTGAAGTTTTATTAGTATTACTTTAGCAGGTACATAAAGTGAAACATTCATTTCAACATCTTTCAACATGTTCTCCAGCACTTCCGTATCCATCAGCTAATACGTTCAGTAGATGTTCAATTGAAGATTATGTGAAAATGTTGAAGGAACGTCGTAAGATACAGGGGAGCAATAACCCTTAACCTTTGAATTCTTTAACAGAGCTTGATAAAATATTTCCATATTTGTGTTTTATCATTTTATCAAAGTAAACTATCAGTGTTCTGCTCAAAAATATCCGTTGGTTGTCTTTTGGAGCTACAATAAATTCTCATTGATTTATAATTACTCTAAAATTGAGTGGTAAAATTACACATATTAAAATACATTTGATCTTTTGGCTTAATTTTATAACAATACAAGCCTAAGGCCTACATGTTATTTGTTAAGCATAATTTGCCTATTTATTGAATGTGAAAGATATTGTAAGCGTAAGAATTTGCATTTTATGTAAATTTTCTAACGATAATAAAAGGTAATCAATTGCAGTAACTTCTTCATTTATACCTTTTTTTTTTTAAATATATTTTGTAGACGGTGGCGTCTTTAGTCTTTACTAATCATTTATTATCGTGTAATAATCAATTTAAGAAATAATTAGTGAGTGAGTGATAATAATTCTAATTAATACATACATATCATATAGCATAGACTGCTTCGTTAAGTTGACTGTTTTATTTGAATTACAATTTATGAAGTTAATTCTATGAATCGTAACTAGCTGATATTAACTGATAATATTTTGATCAAAATTTCAAATTTTATTTTATCATAAATATTAGGAAAATTTTACAGAGATCTGAAAACTAATGTCAACATCATTCAATCCCAATGCTTCTGCTTCTAATATGTCAACTACACGAACCACTCCACCTACAAAAAAATTATCAAAAATTAGCAAAAAATTAGCAATTAAAAAGGAACGACCAGTACCAATGAATGATTTACCGCTTGATGCACCACCTGTTGATTGTCCACCTGTTTATGAAGTACACAATTAATGTTCTATTATTTATATTACTGTATAAAAGTTTTACTTGTGACATCTTATTGGTAACAAATCATTTCTTGAGTTTTTTTCTAAATCTCCAATTAAAAATGATCTATCCAAAATTATTAGTCTAATTATTTCATGAGCTATGAATTAAAACTCACATGAATCTCATCCAGGAAACATTGATCAGTAAATAAAATATGAATTCTATCATATTAACTTTATGATCCATATTTTGCTGATTCCAATCGTATCAATCTATAAGTATTAAAGGTGATAATAATTTACCTGTAAGTATCGAAGGTGATAACAACATTTGCAATTACTTTACAAAAGTAACCTATTCAAAGTTGAAACATTTTCAGTGCTATGTAACAATGAAACCATTAAAAAAGCATCGTCTCAGTATCACAAAACGTTATTTTGGTAAAGTTATCCGTGGATTAATGCGCTTATTGCCAGAGAAAGGCGCAAAAGCGACAAATGAAGTTATCGGTTCAGAATATACCGTCGATTTAACAGCTGTTTGTAACTTTGTTTTCTATTTGTTTGATTGCTACTCTTTACTTCCATATTTGCTTCATTATCAGGCCTATCAATGGTGATGTTAATAAGGAATGGTATAAATATTTGGCTTACTTCTAAGTTTAATTTTGTATTTCAATGCTTGATAGAATAATCAGTAGAAGAAATTGAACCACAAGAAAGTTTTATATTTTCAGGTAGCAATTTCATGTGATGATTCCAGACGGAGACTAATTTTTAAATTCAAAAAGGAATCACGAGATATAGGTCCAGTGAATAAGAATGAGTATGAAACATTCAAGGAAATGATTCAGAAACATCGAAATTATCGTCAAAGTGCTTGTCGTAATAAGTATGCATTTCGAAGGAAAAAAAATTAAAAAATAGGATTCTGCGTTAATTCATAATCTTTCTGATTTACCTGTCATTAGATGATAATCAGGTGATAATACGATTACAAACATTTCCAAGCTACTGCTTAATTAATTTATTAACGATTGAGCGGAATTTCCGTCCGAAAGTTTCTGAGGTTTGAAATATAAAATGATTTCGGTTAGTGCTCCAATGATTGTTAAGGAAGGAAGATTTCAATGAATTGATGACCGCGAATGCTTATCAGAGTAACGAACTCATTCCGATAACTGGGCGGTAAGTTCAAATATTATTGAAAAAAAAAAAAGAAAAACAGCCTAGAAATCGATTGGCTTACTACTAAAAGAGAGCAGAAAAATAAGTAACTTAGTGACTTCTTATTCTAAGGCTCATTAATCCAATGATTTCTCACTTCAAGGCTCTTTTATTCAATTTTAGGATAACCTATGAATTGTTAAAATTTATTTGAATAGAATGTAAACTTGCAGTTCTACATTTTTGTACTAGATTTTATTGGGAGGAAGATAATCAATTAGGATTTCATCCTTAAATAAAAGGCCTGTTAATCCGGAACAAGATATTGACACGGCCAAATTACGTGAAGATTTCCGTGGCAATACAATTGCTGAATTAAATGAAAAGGTGGTTAAAATTCTTAATGATATCAAAACGATTACGATTGAAATGAAACAAATGCGAAAGGAACTAAAGGTATCGTTTGTTTGTTTATTTGTTTTGAGTATGACATCATTTTGTCATATCGTTTAGAATTACTAAGAACAATTGATAATTATCAGATTTTAAAGATTAATGTTAATGAAGAAAAGAAGTATTCGTTCCATTGAGCTGATATATGACATCTTTTTTGTTTTTTATTTTAGGAATTAATAAGAAGTATTCAAAGTGGAAAAACATTACCAACCATGGAAAGTAAAGAAGGTAAATCCATTAAATCTCATTCATTTCTTAGAATCTTTTTTTTTAGCAAATTATTAAAAAATCGTTTTTGATAATTATTAATTATTTGTTATCACTAAATGCGTGATTACAAATAGAATATGTTTAACTAAGTTTTAGGCGATTCAGAAATTTTCAGATGAGCAAACTTCTGATTCGGATAATTCCGATGAGAAATCGGATGCTGCATTGCTGAATAACAATCAAACATTATTTGATGCATTACCGAAGTATGATAAGTTTTTTTTTCATTTCACTTGGTTTAGAATATGTGCAAAGTATATCATCCATTATCATTTGACTCTTCCATATCAAAAGATAAAGGGAGTTTAAATGATAAAAATAATAGATTCATGTTAAATGTGAAATAATATGGCGCGAAAATACTGGTGCGCCAAATTGAAATCAATAAAACAATGAGGAAATTACTGCTATCAACTGAATATTCGTTGATAAAAATTTTCGTTTCAAAATTTTCATTGTCGAAAATTATCACTAAAGTTTTTTAATTTAGTCCAAAGTTCTAAAGTCTTAAAATTGTGGAACTTAATTATTAACTTAAAATCACTTTTTATTCATTTACTATTTACCGTTTATTGTTTTGTTGATTGCTTTTTTTTAGAGAAGTGATAAAGGAAAAAATTACAGAAGATAAAAAAGGTTGTTTGACAGTTTTTGATCAAGTTTGAAAGTTCCAAATAAAGTTTCTTATCACAGAGCTGTAGCTGTATACATTGTTATAATTGATTTAAGTTTAATTAAGAAATGCTAATACTAAAACAATGCCATAGCATTAAGTTATAATTCCAATAGAAGGGAATTTTAGTTTGAATACATCAAATCACTATTGTAAGTGATATCATAAGAAGAATTGTAATTGATAATCATTGTCCCGCAAATGATAATGGATAGCTTAATCAGTGCGAATCATGCATACCAAGAATATCCTGTAATATTTAAGCATGATAATAGTTTTCAGACGAATAATGATTTCAAAAATCAACAATAAATTTATTTTTAAATTTTATTTTTCACATTACAATAGAAAATTTGATAAATAATTGATTTGCAGATACCAAACCAAAGGATAAGAAAGTTTTGTTAGTCTTTTTTTTCTATCTAATTTCCATAATTAATAGTTTTATGAAATTTTAATTAAAACAAATGACTTCTGTTTGTGCTTAGAATTATTACTTTGTTTTCAGACAAAAAAGTAAAATTAATTTATCCGAAGAAATCATCGACAGAAAGGTAATTTTTGTTTTTAATCATAAATAAGATTTAAAGTGTTTTTTTTTACTTTAAAATATTTTTTTAAATTTTTTTTCTAATTTCTTTAAAAAAACTCTTTAAATAAAATTTTTCTATTGATATGATAATTAAGGTTGCATTAAGATTAATTAATTACGAGCCATTATTGTCTATCACTTTTTTCTTATTTGATAATACCTGTAATATTTCAGGAAGAAAAACCTGAACGTCTAGTGGAAGGAGGAGAATTAGAAAAGATACAATCACGGAAACGCAGGGATCAATTACCAAAGGCATCAGTAGCTGGTGAAGAGTTAGGCCTACGACAATTGATGGCAATTGTTGCTCGACGTTTACCTTTACCAATAACATTCTTTGAACCGCTTACAATGTTACAAGTAAAATTCGAAACAGAAAGTTTCTGATTTTAATTTGACCACTAATTACAGTAATTAATTAAGTGAAAATTTGGGTGTAAGTAAAAGAGTTGAGACTTCTAGAACAATAAATTTATTTAATTACATCAAATTTAATTACATCAAAATTTGTTCACAGAAGAAAAAGACCATTTATTGGAATGTTTCAATTTGTCTTTTAATTTCTGATTTGATTCTTTTAAAATTTACATAATTAGATGAAGGAGTATGCCTATGAATTAAATGATTGAAATATTTTAGGTTTTATGTGAAGAGTTAAGATATTCGGGACAAACATTGAATCGAGCTATATCTGCTTATGATCCAGTAGATCGTATTGCTTACGTGACAGCTTTTGCTGTAAGCAGCTATTCCGGTATGGTATGCCGGAAACAGAAACCGTTTAATCCGTTACTTGGTGAAACATTTGATTTTGTATCAGATGAAGGATGGAAGTATCATGCTGAGCAGGTAACAAATATTTCATATTAAATCTCAAATGATAGTTTAAGCTATTTGGTGTATTTTCTGAATCTATCAAAGCAGAAAAGTTGTATCGTTCATTCTTACTACTTTTTTTTTCTTCATTTCTAAACTTCTCAGGTAAATCGTCATCCATCTATAATGGCTGCTCATGCTGAAGGACTGAATTGGGAATGGTGGCAAACATTGATTTCAACACCAAAGACTTCATGGTCCGGTGTTATTGAAGCAACTCCAGAATTACCTGTACGCTTACGATTGGGTAAAGAGGATTATTGCTGGAATAGAGTAAGTTAAAAATATTAGCATTTGTAAAAGAATGATTAGGAATGATGAGGATGAAATTTATAATTAAAATTTTGAGGTAAAAGTAATCATCGAAAATGCATCATCAACAGCTGAATATCGTAAACTGAAAATGGATGGAACGATGAATATGAGATGTAGTAATGGTTATACGAGTACAGTAATCTTCCGCAAAGATCGACAAACTGAAGTATATGGTAGTATTATGGACAATCGTGGTATTTTAGTTGTCAAACTCTTCGGTTACTATGATCGATTTTTGCAGAAGTTAGCATTTATCGTTAGAGGAAATATTTTTTCGAATTTTTAAATTTTTGTCAGATTAGAATTGTAAGTTTATTCGACAAATGATTGAAATGTTAGATTTTCCCAGAGAAATCATCATCTTATTGCATGTAAAAACTGGTATTTTGTACGAAAATTCTTCCATTAGTGTGAGTTTCACAAAAATATGGGCAAATCTGATAAGATCGACTATGGAATATAACATAAGAATGAAACTGAAAAGATTGATTGCAAAACAAAAAAACAAAATTTCCATCCTATTTCTGAGCTTTTATGATTTTGCAAAATTAATATCTAACATTTCTCTTCTCTCTCATCCAATTCTATTCCATTCATAATTTTAAAATAGAAATATTGATGTCACCCTTATTTAACTCTATCCTACTTAAGTAGAATTTTGATGTCATCCTTATTTAACCCTATCCTACTTATAACTTCAAAGTAGAAATATTGATTTTACCCTTGTTTAGCTCTATTCCATTTATAATAATATCAAAATAGAAATATTTACATTTGCAAGAATTACCGAGTATTTTATGACGCATATCGCCATCATAAACCAATTCATGCATAAATGAAATAGACAATTACTGCGTAAAAGAGACATTAATAAAATGTATATATCTCAGTATCTCTCAATTTTAACTTTCATTGAGACAGTCAATAATCATGTTTTCAAGGCCATTTCATTATTTCATGATACATTCTCCCAGAGTAAATCAAAAGGAATATTTGTTCGAAGCAATTCCGTTACCCAAAAATGCGAATCAATATTATGGATTTTCACAGTTTGCATGTGGACTGAATGAATTTTTGAATATTGATGAAAGATTAAGTGCTCCATCAACTGATAGTCGATTTAGACCGGATTTGAAAGCTCTTGAAAATGCTGATACTGCTCGAGCTTTTGAAGCTAAAACAAATCTTGAAAAGGTTTATTCTCAATTTTAAACTAATCTCAAATTTGTAATCTACACTACTACATTCTATTCATTCAATCTTCTTGACTAATAATATCAGTTAGAATGACAAATTTCATTTAGTTGCAACGAGCACGTAATGAAGCAATACATAAGCGTATGTGGTTTGAACAGCGACATGATTTGATGACAAATACAACTTTATGGGTTTGTAACGGTCGATATTGGCAAGCAAAGGAAAAAAATTTAAGGGTTATTCGGATATGCTCCAATTATTCTGGTATATTACATATTTGTCAAATTATTTATATCTACTTTGTATCGTATTTTCGATTTCGAAATAAGCAATTACTATAGAATGAAACCGGAAGTGTCATTGGAATGTTAAGATGAAAAAAGGTAAACGTCTCTGTAATTTAATTTGCAGTTAAACCATTGTCGATGAAAATCGTCATATTAAAATCCGACTTCCAAAAAATGGCAGAATTGATGACTGTCACTTACACTGCATTGATGCAACGACCAATGGAATCGATAAAGATACGAACTAAATCAGATATCTTATTATTGCTAATGTTCGAGAAGGAAGTGTAAGTATTATTCAAAGACATATATATATCCATGTTTTAGAACACAATGGATAACATTATACCATCCAGTTGAAACAAAATATGTCTAGGTTGAAAAATATACATATTCAGATTAATCTTATTTCTTACCTTTCTTGTATTTCTGTTTAGACGTGCATTGAATGAATATGGTTGAAAGGTTCACTTAAGACGGTAAAAAAGATGGATGAAATCATTATTAGGCAATAATTTTTGTCAAATGTTATTTAAAAATGAATGATAGTAAAAGGGAATGGGAACCAGAAGAGAATAATAATCTTGAATTAACTTGGAAATTATTAACAATAAATTGCAGTAGCACAATTCTACAACAATTCAACATGCTCCTGAATTGTTTCGACAATTCTTTATGTATACCAATTTTTGAAAATTTCTATACAATTCAGATTATGAATGCAATGGCAAAAATGGATCTTATATAATCTATCAATGAAAGTGAGAAATGCGAAAGGAAAAGTACATATTATAGCGATAGCCGTTATGTCAGTTATAAAACCAAAAAAAAAAAATAAATTAAAGGAATGCTCTGAAGAGTGCATCTCACATTAAGATAGCCTCTCATCAAAGTGCACTCAGAGAAGCGAATTAGAAGGCCTAACATAATGAGAGAGTAAATTCTATGCAAATATCCTTCTTAATCCTTGAGCTGCCGTTTACTGTCTAATCCATGTTTCACCAATGTTTGTAATAATTCACACGCTGTCACTAATCAAATGCCTTGTACAGTCGAGAGAATTTGTTTTCGGGAGAACCTATTGGTACATTCATGTAACCAAAATAAGTTATCTCTTCACTACTGGGCAACACATTAATGCTGTTGTTATCCTTCATCAACTTCGCTTCCGAATGTTTTTGCAAAAAAGTACAGCTCAACTGCATCATTTTACCAATGACAGAATAGCAAAACGACTCAATAAGTGAATACAAAATTTACTCAAGGAGCTACGCAGATCTTGTAGATCAGTTGCAAAACTAAAAAAACAAAGTATTCCTACAAGTATATACACAAAACTATAATCAGTAAAAGTTACTTCGTTAAATATCATATATAAATGAATAGGAAATATGCACAAATACCAGCATAAGAAATATGTAAGACGAAGAAAGAATGGAGCGACTACAGTAATAGCACATGACCTGAAGGAGTAACCCTACGTATACAGGCAGTGATCCTTGTTAAAAATTCTTATCTCATTAAACAATAAATCAATGTCACATTGAATGACTGGACAGTTCATTTCCCTTTGAATCCATTCCTTTTGCATGAAATCGATTCTTTCCAACATCTATGAAAACATCTTTTCGGACTCTCTCTCTTATTGCAAAATTTACCGAAAAATGAGAACGACCGGCCAGAAATTTCAATAAAAGTCAAAATAAATGTAATGTAAAATCGAAGAACATTAAAAGCACATGGTATTCGAAACGTCAGACTTCAAAACTATGAATAATTTTGAAAATTGTCAAAACTTGAAAAAAAAAGACATCACAGAAACACTAGCAAAACTGAAATTAGAAGCCATAAAATATTACAAAGAAAAAAAAAGACAATGCATTGATATAGCAGAAAATGTGACTTCTTTTTTTAAATCACCAATTTAAATCTCACATTCGAGACAATTTTTGAATTTTGCAACCAGATTAAACGCACAAAAGTCTCACCAAATCTTGAACAGAAAATACCAAGAAAAGAATAAAGTATAAGCACGTATTGCAAACTAGTCAGCTTTTTTACATAATTTTTCTGGAGCAATTCAGCTTAGATTTAATTAATGTCATGAAATGATCACTGCAAAAATCAAAAAGTTTTTAATGAAAGGCTAAACAAACATACAGCAGTAGAATGCAAACTCTAAGAATTATTTTCTCGGATTCTTCGAGAAAGTGGCTCCTTAAAAATGTGGACAAAAAAGTTGCAAAGAAATTTTAAAAGCAAAACACGCAACTGGTAGAAATTACCATTCTGAAAAAATTATTAATAGAGTAGTTGCAATGTTATGAAAAGTCATAGGGTAATGCGTCAGAATTCTTCTAGAAAATTCATTTCTTTAAGAAGCATATGCTAAATAAATTCATATGTCCATATTTGATAGCTGGAAGCTGATGCTGTCATGCGATGAATTATCAGTGCTTTCTCGTGATATCTCGCTTGAAGTGTCATCATCCCCATCCTAGAAATGGGATTATAATTTGAGAATAAAATTCAAGGAGATTTAGGCGATACACCTTATTTTTACTCTGTGTGAAGTGGGATTTTGCAAACTAATAACTACGTAGCATTATAAAGGATCAGAAGAAGCGCTGCGAAAGCATTACATTTTCCACTTGTCTATCATTGTGGGAAAATTATCCATTATCAGCGCAAAAGATGAAAAATATCTATCAGTTGCGGTTTTAAAGACATCTATTAAAAAAATGAATCTTCAGCACAATTTCCTTCCTTCCTTCACCTGTAAAGAGGACGAGAGATATTTACCTGAAACCCATTACTTTCCCCATCGACAGTTAAATCATGCATGGCTTCCTCGATTTTCTTTTCCAATACTTTCTGTTTTTTAATACCTTTAGGATCTAAATCACTTGACCAACTTCCTGAAACCTCTATTGATTTGTTGAATTTATTTTGTTGTATTTTGAAGGATGAAATGAATTTATCCGATCAACTTTTACCCACACCATTACCAATTTTGTTGGCTGTCTCTGGACATGATCAAAAGTGATATATCTTTTCGTAAGCACTCTTCCATATTCCAATATATTGTATCCTTCATTACCACATCAGTAGTCTTGGATATTCAAAACATTTACCCGCAATAACTTCAGTCGGCTCACCAACATCAAAACTTCCGAGTGATCCTGCCGCCTCAATTATCACAGGAACCGATTTGGTTATACCGCTGCGCAATCTATCTTCATTTGACCCAGGAGTAATCTGCAATTACTCTTCAAAAACTCAGTCAAGTAAAGGTCTTATACAAAACGAGAAACTTCCGCTATAAAGTGCAAAAAAAAGAAACAAAACAGTGCTCACCAAATCAGCGCTAGCATGCTCCAATGACTGAATATACGTCCGAAATGAAAACTGTGGTCCCATCCACAAGCGTCGATGAGGATCCAAATATGTCAGCACCTCAATCTGCAAAATTGATGATTAGAATTGTTAATTATTCATGGAATTCAGCTGGAATTGAAAGAAAAAAAGAATTTATAAAACGAGGACAAAATACCACTCAGTATAAGCACAAAAATTAGCATATGTTTCCGTAAGGAGCCTATAAATCCCATATACATATTAATCAATGCCAACATGTTGTGCGGTGACTCCCTATAATACGACCCCAAACAGTAATTCCTAGATATCACATACAGCCATATATCTTGCTCTGCTCAGGTAATACCTTTTATTTCCTTCTCCCTTATCATATTAATATTATAGGAAAATTCCAACGGTCTTAGAGTAACTAATATTTAGTTCAACCTGGCTTATCCACTTCGCATTCACTTCATCTTCATTTTTTTCCTCACATACATCATGAGGAATGAACCACATCCACAAAGGATTTTGATCACAAATAGGTGCACGGAAGTCTGCTGATAGCTTATTCCTAGAATTTGAGTTGAACAGTAAAACTAAAAAGTAAGGATATTCACAGGAATTTTCTTAACACAAATATAACAGAGACAAAGAAATACCTTTGTAAAGTCCACTGCGCTACTGCAGTTGGTGTGCACTGAATTAATGTCTCATCAGGATTCGACCGCTGCTGTACATTTGGAGAAAATATTCCACTCGCTCCATGATACGGAGAAGGTGAGATTGACAACAAATATTCCGTTAAGATACCATCATTGTTGATTACCAGCAGAGAAGTATTTTTCGGATTAGGTATGGAATTCGAAGCAAATGAAATCTATAAAAGGTCTAGTTAAGTAGTGCACGGGTTAGATAAAAGTATGACTTCAGAGTAAAATAAGTGGAGCTAAAATTTCGTACATACCGCTAAACGATGCTGATCACTGGGTTTGCTCGAGGCTTTATAGTACTTTTTTCCGGAACTAAGTGGTGCAGGTGTCATATCGGATGCCCAAGCACTCAGATTATCAGCCGAGTAAAAACGCTGCTGCAATTAAACAATCAAATTCATAGTCTAAGAAGTGGTGATGATCAGCAAGATATTTAACAAAGCATCTAGCATGAAATTTGAATAATAGAATTTCATGGAAAACCAAGTGAGCAAAATCGAAGTTAGAAACAATATGAACCTTGATTCTCACATGTGCTTCCATGCCTATCGGATTTGGATAAGGACCGATACGGGGATTGCTTACTGAACGCGCAATGTTATATCGAGAAACATCAGGATGTTCCCTATATTTAAAAGGAATCATTTTTTTCCTAAAAAATCATCTCATTCAACTGAAACACAATTTAAATTGTCACTTAGAAACTCAGCATTATAGACTTACCTACAAAGTTGAGCACCACCAAACTGATGATCTCGCGTTTCTGCTGCTTTCTTTACATTAATGTAACCCAATTCTGGCAAACCTGCGGAGCGATGAAATCTACAAACCCGTAGAATTACATTTTGTTGCGATCAATGAATTATAACATAACATGTTTTAAAAAAATTATAGTATTGAAAACTAATTTCTGGCCAAATTTCACGAATTCTACTTCTTCAGCAGCGGTTTCTCTGCAAAGTACAAATGCCTTCCATCACCTGTATTAAACCACAATGAAATATAAACATGACGATGGCAGGCATCGTCATCAATAAAGAGAAATGCAAGAGCAGTTATTAAATTCAAAAATTATCACATTGATTGAACTCAATACCTCGATTCTCTGTTAACAATTTCACTGCCATGAGTGCGAACAGTCACTTGGCCACCGTATGGACATATACCGAAAATGTGGGTAGTTCCATGATTTGTAGCTATTGCTAGCCAACGATTATCAACAGAAAAACTGCAGCTAACTACCTAAACATAAAAAAAAAAAAAACATCAGCAACAACAATTCTTCCGGGTTATTTTTCAACAGCAAATAAAATAACGTTAGTATATAACACCTATTTTTTAAAATAAAATAACGTTAATATACAACACCTATTTTTTAACTAAATTAGCTAAATTAATCTTAACAAAAAAGTTTATACATAAATCAGATATGTCCTAAGGATCAGTATAGGGAAAACAACGGTTTTTCACTTAAGGAAGATAGTATTTCCTCTAATAGGCCTATCAAGTTAACTGTTAAAAACAGTATACGTTGATATGAAAGTTGATTCTATCAAATCAACAGATAAGACACTAGTGTTGCTGGAGTAAAAAAGTGTTATTTATTCAAGGCTGCGCTTTTGTATAACTCTACGCATTCTTAAATGTTAACCACTTCCAAAGAGCTGGGAAGAAAGGAAGTACTCTGTTCTTTTAGCTGTGAACAGATATGTGGTTTATTCATACTGATAAGGATTTTGTAGAGTAAGACAAAGCGCAAAATTCATCACGTGTATTTCGCGTACGGTCATTTCAAAGATATTCAAACCTTAGCAGGAGTAGTCCCACGATATAATCTGTAGAGATGACGCACAGCACCAAGCAATGAAGATCCAGGATGAGGATGAATGAGAAATACGTGAAAATAAGTTGAAGATTGTCCTAGAAATCAATTATATAGTAGTCCAAAACTACAAACATATCAAAAAAACAAGAATGAGATCAGTTACCTGCAGTTACTAGCAGTTGTCCACCATTTCCAAAAGCTATGAAACCAATTGGTTCCGTATGGGCAACGAAATGTGCTACAACTGCATCTACGTATTCTGCATTCTGCAAGGAGCTTTAACCCTACGACAGTTCCAGTGACCAGTTAATGTATAAGATTCGTTTACAGATTCTTAAAGCTTTGATGGTTTTTATAGAATCAGAAATATTGCTATCTACGAAAAACTTACATTAATATTACCATCGATGGGAAACTTATTTACATCCACCACAGTTATAATTCCAGGTTGAGCCACTGAACTTAGCAGTTCTTTGGGCTGTGGAGATGCAGACAGCGTTGAAACAACTGAACTACCAAACGAAGTCAATGTTTTGGTAAAGTTCTGCAAGAGTTGAAAGATTATAATTTGACGGACCAGACCGTAAATTCTCATTCAAGTTTTGGATATGAACTTCCAAGATACTAAAAATAGTTGCTATCATCTGAGAAAGAAGATTGATTATGAAGACTATTTTCTTTATTTCTCATGTTTAAAATTACTTGGTTCCAAATTTTTATTAATGACCTCAACGCTGATTGTTTTATTCATCGCTGCAAATGATAAAAATCCTTGCAGTCCTTTGAAATGTAAAGGTACTGAACCTTATACGAGACTTAATATCTCAAACTATGCTAATCTTGGTGAACCAATCTTAATTAACCGGTAGAACTCGGAACAGTGTTCTGTTTTCGTTCTTTTTTTTTTTTAACTTACCCTTGCTACACTTACAACACTGTAACTAGACGAATCTTGAAATACATCCTCACCACCCATTCCGCCACAACTTTGGCATTCTTGTTGTAACTAAAACAGTAATACATAAAATTTTCGAATATAGCACAAGCATCTCTTGAATATAAACAATACAATTTGATCGTATCGGGAGAGATTTTTTTTTGTGACTCTTTGCTGTGCACTCTGTCTACCACCGTGGATAGAGTATCATTTTGCAATGCAGTAAAACGAAGTGAATACTTTTCATATGTGAATATTCTCTAATGTTGCTAGACAAGAGATCAAGTCTAATTCATTTTTGACTAAATAAGAAAAACTGAGAGTCAAGAAAACTTGGAGATTTTGTAGACGAACTTCTGAAGTAGCGAAAGCTAAGAAAATATCCGAAATAGCGAACGGAGTACCAGAGCCTTCATGTATTTGAGTGTTGTATACGGTACGTTGCTCACGTAGTGACATCATATCAAGGATCACAATGTGATCAACAAATGATACAACGAATATCCTAAAAGAGTAATAAACTTGAAGATTACTAGTTCCGAACTTTACATTAGTTTAGGAAAAAGATTATTTTTGTTATTCAAACTCATTTCTCATGCATATTGGTTCAGGTCAAGATATGTCAAAGTAACGGACGCATTATCTCCTGCTTATTAGGACTACGTGAATAACAGTTATCATTTGACAGTAAAGAGCTACAAATACCAAACAACGGTCAACTTCAAGCAGAACTCCGATAAGAAAGAATGTGGAAAATTACTTGGTAGAAGCTGCGAGCGCCTGCACGGAATCTGAGAAATTGATTTTGTGCACATACTGGGCACTCAAAAGTGAAACAAAAGATACTGTACAGCATTGTCGATCTGGAACTGGTGTGTTCTCATCAACTAGTGCGAATAATGGACGAAAACCTTTGAACCTGAAACTTCATGTTTCCTTTCCATCCATGACTTTGCTCGCATCTATATAAAATCCTATTTTTTAAAAAAAGATAACGGAAATATACCTATCATTATGAATGCCAAAGCTTGGTTCGCAGTCCACAGACAATAAAAGACCCGTTCGAAGTGGACCTTGTCGCTCCGATAATATCTCTCTACAGTCACCATTTTCCTGGAAACTTAATGTGAGATTGTATGCCTTTCGAGATTAATATTTATTTTCCATGTACTCATTTCATCTTTAATAGAAAGTTTGTCTCCTCTCCTCTCCTGATACTGTTTGATCGATCCATCTATTTCATAAAAGCCCTGTAAGGAAAAATACTGAAGATAAAGTTGGCCGAAGTAATAATATGGATATGCTGAAAAAAATTCATGATGCCAATTGTCCTATTTTCGCTAATTAAATTAATAGAAAGGCTATCGGTAACTCGACTAACCATGCGTGCCCAAATTTGATATCCCCTAGCCAAACCAACGACTATCACGTCAACCACGCGTTTTCGATCATTTACTGAAATAAATGTTTGGTTACAAAGAGAAAATACAGATAATTCTGCATCCTGCTGAAATTTAAAGTTCTTAGTCTCTAATATCAACGATAAGTCCAATATATAAACAACAGACCATTTGAACACTTCTGAATATTGACCCATTCAATTCGCTCCGGGATAGTTTGTGGATTTGTTGACTGTGGAATAATATCATGAACAAGTTCAGCCATAGAACTCATCAGTGATGCCTCTCTGAAGAGTGCACAACGCATTAACTTATAAAAATCAAAAAATTTTGCTTATACATTTACATTTGATTGACGTTGACTTTCATTAACTTTTCTTTTTTTTACCTCATAAATATAAATGCTCGCCGATCTCTTAATTTATAATTTCAAGCAAGCAGAGAGTGTACCTACTTGTGTTAGCCTGAACGAGACATTCTTTAACAATAAAGTAATAATCCAACGCTACTGAAGAAATTTGAAGCTGAAGACCGGCTAACTTACGGTACACATTGAGGTTTCACGCATTGTCCCTTTGGCTGATGTAAAAAAGATTCCTCTTGAGATCTAGCACATGGAAAGGAAGTGGCATATGGCACTACCGGCTTTACATTGCCTCCACGTGTGGAAGGCAATATTGGACGTGGTGCCTTGGAATTTTCCTGTTCGCATTGATCCTGAGGACACTCATAACGAGGTTGTGGTTGTACCTGTAAACGTAACAAACTAACGATTTTGAAAAAAGAAGGTCACTTGTCAATCATTCCTTTATTATTGGAAATGGAGTTAAAGGCAATAAGCAGTGAAAGTAAACTTTCACTGACCAAAGTTCAAACTGTGCCAAATGGTTCCAATAATCTTATTAAGTCGTATAAATTATTTGCTTCCACTTTCCTGCCAGAAACACTATTTTCGCCCATGTTCACCACCTCATAATAGTTAAGCAACACTAAGACGAAACAAATGTAGAAATTTAATATATCCAGTGCGACTACCTTATACTAGCAGAAGAATGCACAGAATTGTGATGTCGAAAAAGAGATAAGGCAAACCTGTTGCTCTTTGAGATATCGACAAGGTTGTTTACGCGATGAACGTGGTAGCGATGTGGACATCTAGAACATATATTAAATTAACAATGGCGTTCGCGTAATTTTTGGCTGCTAATTCGGCGCACGACCTCGTAATAAAAGTATGGACAGAACAGGACTAACAAAAAGACAAGTGAAGATAAGAGTAATAACTGTGAAAATTCCGTAATATGCAAGTCAATGACTCATCTTGAAAAGAATTAATCAGTAATGCACAAACTGATGGAGAATGGTCAACCCATCAATATTTAGTCTCAATTTAGTGAATTTTATAACTGAAAGGAGCAGGTCCCAGAAGAAATGTGACCGTTTATATGGAAATAACGACGAACCAAATAGCCTAATTGAATCAGTACTTTCTTCAACCGAGCGGCATTTTTTAAGTAATGGCACATCCATAGAACCCCCACATGTCAGAAATATTAAAAACTGCCGATTTCTGTTTTGCAAAACTGTGTAAAGCAAAAATTGGCAGTTTTAACACTTCAAGTTACATCACTCCTATCAAAAAATAGTCAAGAAGGTTGATACATGATGTGTAGACCTAATTTTCAACAACAGTTTAAATGTTAAGAGTCCCCATAGTTTAGAAATTCGTCCAGTCAATTACAAAAAATATTGGTTGCAAAAGCGTTTCAGCAAGATTCGTCATGAGTGCAGCATAAATTCCACGGACCTGCTCCCAAAATCGAGATTAAGGGGAATCAACTTGCACACCTCACCTGGATTATCTCCACGTTGATCAGGTTTTCAGCGTACCATATCTACCATGTTCAGAGGCTAAATACGGCCATAAATGGATCTCAAAGTGTGTGATGATGATATCTGCAGTGCAGGATGCCTTGCATAACGGGAATTCCGAAGAATTTCAATAATTCATCAAATAATCTGATATGTGTTCGTTGCGCTACTTCTGACAACCTCTTCAATTATTTCCTGCTCTCTTTGCTGTATAGCATTACGAAACAAATTTCAGCGAAAAAAGTTGATCCATTGTAATATGTAAATGAGGAATTGATTAAAAAGGCTGCCAAAAAAAGCTCACTTTATTGTAAACGACTTTAATGAGGAACGCAACAAGCATATAACGTACATGTGAGCAACTGTCAAACTGTGACAAAGTTAACTACCAACGAATATCGACTAAAAGTCACAAAGCTAACAAAGAAGCGACATTTTCAAAGACAAGTTCATTACAAAGTATGTTAATTAATTGACTTTTTGAGTATAAACCTAGCTGTTACGGAATATTATTTTACAGAGTGTGACTAATTCTTATGGGTAATACTACCTGATATACTGAATATAATCTAAATCTTACCAGTGATTCATCAAGTATGACTTACCTTTTGATCTGTAACATTAATAAATGCAACATTAAGCCAACTCATTACATACAGTTGCAGCATGAAAAGGTCATCAGTGAAGGAAGATATGACCTCATCGAGTTACCCGCTTCATCCCGAAATCTCCTGAAAAACTCACAATAACCCAGCTGACATCGACCAATCAATGATTGACCAGCAGCTGTTCATGAAATAGCATTGGCTAACTGCCAAGAACATTGATTTGCAGCGCCTAGTGCAACTTGCGATGGTTCTTGCGGTAGCGGCTGGCGCATGTGCTGGCTTGGTTCTTTTCATGCGTTGGATGAAAGAGAGCGAGGAATAGCGGGTCCATCGATAGATTGTGCTGATGCGGGGAGAAAAGGGGGAGAAAGTGAGTTCTGAGGATTCCGAGAGTTACAGGATATCTTTTTGGTGGGGATTAGTAAGCTAAGTGGTAGGTTATACACAGGGAGCTTAACTTTTTCTCGAATTTTTGTCGAGGAATTTGTTGCATTTAGTTTGCATTGAAACTCATTATCTCTTTTATTGCTGTTTCGCTCATATGCTAAGCTCACAAATCAAATAAATACCCGAGAGTTGGGGTAGATATTGGAGGTATGAAATATTTTCGACTGTCATCAATTTCCCGCTCACAGGAAATGCCTATTAAAAATTTGACTGTTATATAATTTTTTTGTTGGTTCCTTATGATTGTTGACCTTTCGAAATATCTGCTCTACAGTAATCTCAGTCGGTTAGCTAGTCAATTTCTAATTACCTCTGAAATCGTTCTCATTGATAAATCATAAGTGATGTTATGGAGAAGTAGTCTTTATATCCATACTGCTTTTCACAACAAATAATTTCTGGCAAAGAGCTGCAGATGAAGGAAATAATTCTTAACTTATGTAAATTAAATTGAGAAGTAACGATACCTTACATATGTGATTATTTTCCTTGCAGATTTCATTTTTCGGGTTTTGCTCGTTTTGTTGTGTTGTCTCCTCTTGGAATAAGGCGTCTGGTGCTTATCATACCGGTCGTTGTGATTTAAGAGCTGTTAATCTCAAAAAGGTAAATATCATTTCTATTTCTTCGCAGGGTTTTTTTTTCGTTTAGAATGAGTTAAACAACACGTAACATTATCTGTTGGATTTGCTTGAAACTCCCGGAAGTGCATCTAATCCAGCTGTGCTTCTACGCTTATTCTGCCCAACGGCAAGTGGGCTATTCATGTCAGATTTTGCGTCTGAGATCACAACTACGAAGGATCAGCACAATTAAATTTTTGTCGATTTCGAAATTTTAATTTGTATTTTATCATTATAGAGATTAATAAAGATGCCGTGTATGATTGTGGAGAAGATAAGTTTTGATGGGTTACATATTTCTATCGAAATTTTAAAACAGTTTTGGAATTGGTAATATTGAAATTAAAAGGTTGAGATTCAATTTCAAAATGATTAAAAACTAAAATATATATATTTCAGATCTAATTCACTGCGTCCATTATACATCATTTTACCATCATACCATTAATATGGCTGCTGAGGCTGAGAAGCTTAATCTGGATAATATCATCGCTAGGCTTCTAGAAGGTATAATATTTCGTTCATGTGGTTTGTAGAGTAATGATTTCACTGATCAAAATTCTGTCAAAGATTTCGTATATCTGTTAACTGGTATTCCGTACTTTTATAATTCTGGTTAATTCTTCAAACTACTTAATCTTCAAAATATCCTAGCTTAAATTGGATGACAAATTGCAATAGTTTGATAGATTTTCTTATTACCTATCCTCTCTGCAGATGCTTTTTCTTTGTGGCTGGATGAAAATTCCTCAATGACCACAGTGCATCGCGAGTCAGGGTTCACATCAAAATCTCGTTGATCCCAATGCTTGCCTCTATATATGTTATTCTTTATACTGAATTTGGACAATAGAGTGTATTTGCAGTACGTGGTTCGAAGCCGGGCAAAAATGTGCAACTGACAGAAAATGAGATTAAAGGCCTGTGCATCAAATCACGTGAAATATTTCTCAGTCAGCCTATCTTGTTAGAACTCGAAGCGCCTCTAAAAATTTGCGGTTTGTTCTGCAAATCGTTCACTTTGAAGTTTAAGTTGAATTTTTAGATTTTTTTCTTCAGCAAAATGTCGAGTGTTTATAATGTTTTTCAGGTGATGTGCATGGACAGTATTATGATTTGCTACGACTTTTTGAATATGGTGGTTTTCCACCTGAATCAAATTATCTCTTTCTTGGGGACTATGTAGATAGAGGTATACTCCACTCAAAATTTTTTACTCTGTTGTCGGTATATTATATATATACATATATATGTGATATACGTATATATATATATATATATATATATATATATATATATATATATATATATATATATATATATATATATATATA